GCTTTGCCTTAGTTACAGGTTCGTTTAGCTTCATCTCCAATTTCTCAGTAAGAAGTTGATTTTCGATTTCATTTTCAGGTCAAAGAAGATACAGATATGTCTGTGATTGATGAAGTTGGAAAGATGGAGCTCTTCAGTTCGTTGTTCTTCCCTGCAGTGTTACGTGTTCTTTAGTCAAAGAAGATAAATCTCTGGTGGTTGTTTCTTCCACCGGTGAATCGGAGAGAGAGAGAGAGAGAGGGAGAGAGAGAGAGGGATGGGACCCTTGCATATTAAATTTTATTTATTTTAAAAAAAGTAATACAAAACCTCATAAATGGTCCCTGGGTAGTGAAATGACAAAAATACCCCTTACTTAACGGCTAAATGGTAACGGAGTTAGCCGGAAGGACCAAATGTTAAAAGTTTTGAAACCACAGGGACCATCTGTGAGGTTTTTTGAACTTAGGGATTAAACTTGATATTTTTGAAACCACAGGGACCATTTTTGAAGTTTTGTCATATATATATATATATATATATATATATATATATATATATATATATTGGATTTCTAAGGGTATAATTGTCATTTCACCGGCTAAATAGGGACTTTTACGTATTTTAATTGGTGCTCATGCCTAGTCACCAGCCAAAATGGATATTAAGTCAACTCAGGACGAATTTGAATGACACGTCAGCGAGTCAAGGACGAGTTGCTTTACTTGGGCCCTAAGGGTTGGTGTGGTCCCCTAATATATAAGAGAAGGAGTTGTTGGACAAAACCCTAACACTTCATTACCATTTCCAACCAAACACAAGCTAACAACCACTCGACAAGAATCCCTTTACCCCTTCACTTTATTCCAAGGAGCCACCAGACTCAATAAATTTGATAAACTCAAGAGACGGACTGAACTTAAACGATTTGCACACCATTTTCTGCGATTGTGGAGAGAAGATAGTGACATAAGAAATTGAGGTCGATCGTTTGAAGGACGAGATGGGTCGGGACTTTCTTCTGTCGATGGTGGATATGCTCAGAGGTTCCAACACATTGAGAAGAAAATCAAAGTTGTTGCTTCGTTGGTTGTAGGTCTCGTCATCGTCATGTTCGTCTTCATGATTCTTCTGCTCCACATCATAATCAACAAGTGAATCATATGGGTTGTGGTGGTGTTCCTTACTTGCGTATATATTATTAGGCTTATGTTTGTTTAGGTAGGTCTACTGGTAATGTAATGGTGGTTGTAATGGGGATATTTTGAAGTCCTGTGTAACTACGACTGTGACATACATTTTGTTAACATATTATATATAGTAATCGATGAAGTTCTGAGAAAATTAGCCATGTTTGGATTATAATCATTTTTCTGTGTTCATTGTTTGTCTAACTTAATGTTGATTAAATTTGTTTGGTGAACCCTCTGTGACCGTTACTGAGCCCAAAGCAAGAGTGTAATGGTGAACCCTCTGTTGATTATAATCATTTACTTACAAAAACCGTTTTCAAGATAATTTTTAACTTTTGGTTTCTTTTTGAAAAAAGGGTTTACCATTTCCTCAGTTTGAGTTCTGACACCCCCAAGAGTGTGTCCGAATCCCTCAAACCACGGCTCTGATACCAACTTGTAACAACCCAAAAATTCAATAAAATTTTTCATTTAATAATTAGAAATCTCATTCGTATTTGTCTCTCCAATGTTCCATTACATAAATATATTATTCAAGATCAGAGTTTCCAAAACAACTAATGCCGAAATATTTGAGAGTGCACGCTGCGCCATCAAGCCGAGCCCTTGCCCTTAGAACCAAAAGTAGCTGAAACACCCAACAAAACTGTAAGAACACGCTTAGTGAGTTTCCCAAAATACACAAATCACATAATCATATAATGTCATGTACATATACACATAAAACTACGATGGACTCCCTCCATGGTCTTCAACCGGGATGCCATGGGCTACCCCCATGCTCTTATATCCAAGTGTCATGGACTCCCCCTCATGGTCTTACCAGGTGTCATGGGATCCCCCATGGTCTTCACGTAAACCAATAATAGACCATTGCATAATCATTTATACAGATTCACATAAAGTAATGGGCCGACATTGGTGCCTTCGACCCATGGGTATAGTGATGAGACTCACCTCAAAGATAGCTAAATCCTACGAATGATGTGCCTGCTGCGAATCGGCTCTAAACACTGAGCCAAACCCAAAGCTAAACTCAGTAAATAACTATGACTAGATTCGACACTAGGCCCACAATTGGCCCAACTAACCAGGCCCACCAATGGTCTAAGCCCATTAGGCCCACTAAGACCCAAATCCATTGGGCTCACTAAGGCCCAAAATACAATCCTAGGCTCAACAGGGCAAGCCCAACAAGACAAGCCCAAACAAGAAGCCCAACACTACAAGGGAAATCTTCAGTCCAAACTAAGCCCAACGAACAGCACCCACACCAAGCCTAAAGCTCAAGAGTCCAAAAGATGGCCCCAAGGAAAAGCCCACTGATGGACCGGACGTTGGGCGTTCGTCACCAGCCAACAGATCGCGAACCTTAGCCGGAATATTGGGCGTTCCTCGACCCAACGCTGACTCCCAACAATGATTATTAAGCACTTAATGCTTAAAGCCACACGACCAAAACATAGATCCAAGTCCTAAAGAACATCTAGAACCATAAAAGTCACTGACTTGGTGACTTTGCATGCCCCAAAAGGTCCCAACTTCAAGATATAACATTCAACTTCCATAAAAATGGTTAAATCTCATGCATGGGGCTTATACAACTCTAAAGATGCAAACTTTATAAATCTAGAACCTCAAAAACACCAAGAGGAGCAACTCAAAGCTTCTGGAGTGATCAAAAACTACTAGACCTCAACTATGGGACCAAAAAGGGACTAAAACCCATTAAGACTTAAATCTAAGCTTCTAATGAGCAAGGTTAGAGCTTATACCTCAAATGAGCTGGAAATAGTAGAGAACCAAGATCTATAAGCTCCTACTTGAACCACCACCTTGCACCAAGCTTCTCTTCCTTGAATGAGCTTCAAACACACACAATGAGCACACAACACTCTTGGAGGCTCTAGGGTTTCGAGATTAGGGTTTGGGAGCTATGGAGTTTGAAAATGAGGCCAACACCTAGGACTTAAGGTGTTTAAATACATCTCAAACCCTCAAAATTAGGGTTTGAGCTCCACACGTAAACGCCCTGCGTTCCCCAAGGGAACGCCCCGCGTTCGAGTTCCGCCTCCAAAAGTCTAAACTTGGCAAAAATGGTCCCTCCTCCCCCTCAAACTTGCAAAACAAGGCCAAAAAGCAATAACCTAATATATAAGGGACCAAAAATGAATAATACCTGGATCGAACGTTACAGTATCTCCAATTCACTTTTTATGACACGCATAGTTGTGTCGGGTTGATCGCGAAACTTCGAAGAAACATAACATCTTTATATGAAGTCGGATTTAAGTGCTCCTTATATCCACAAGATAGTCATTACATCGTTAGCTAAGATTATTTACTATATCTTAAATGTCTAGCCCAAATCTGCAGACGTTACAATAAAACTATATTGATATAGAGATAGAGTTATATGGTTAGTTTGTATTTGGTTTACGAGAACTCGATAAATACGACAATGAAAGCATCCGGGGGGGGGGGTGACATGTATGGCAAAAACCTAAAATTCACCTAAAAAACATAATCGATGTTGAAAAACAATAAGCCGGACAAATATGAGTTTTCACTCGTGAATATTTGTTCATAAGGTAGCGTTTGGTACATGAACAAGATAGGACTGGACTGGATAGAACTGGATTGGATTGAACTGAACCGGACAAAACAAAACTAATTATCTACATTACGTTTGGTAAATGTATTATAGAACAAATCAAGACATGAAAATTACCATATTATCCTTTGCATTAAATAATATATTATAATCAATATTACTTTTAAAACTTATAATTTTTTTTAAACATAATTGGTATAGATCGTAACACTTATTTAGTAATTTTGGTTTGCAAATTCAATTTGTGCGTTTCATTGAATTTGTCAATCAAAACATAAAAGCAAGCCAATAAATTAAATTGCAGAATTACAAACATGAGCTATCAATATTGATGTGAATTGTCAATAACAGTTAGCTGCAAACGAAGCCTCAATCCAAGTTTAAAAAAATTACTACACAATTGCAATTGCAGTGAAAGTGAAATTAAGCAATAATAACACAGGAGTTGAATTTAATAATAAATCACAAATCAAAGCTGATGCATGTGATTATAAAAACCTAATCATCCTTCCTTTTTCTACCAAATCGATTCCTATATAAAAAATTAACAACCCTCTTTGAAAACCTAAATCGATCTCTAGGAGGTCGTTTTCATTTAAACAAGATTTCTTTTAAAAAGTCTGCTTTCTGAAATAATTAAGCTCTAGAAGAAAAGGCTTCGACGTTTCCTAGAAAGAAGATGAATGACTTATCACCTCTGTCTACCAGGTGAACTCGTGGATATGTAAGAGAGAATTTCCAATTAGAAATTTTGTTACTAAAACAAGGAGATAGACTAGAGATCGATTAAGAGAGGTGAGTGACGACAAATTATCCATGTTTATGATTTGTAGAGGAGAGGAGTCATGAGAGGCTTAGAGGGTAATTTAGTCTTTGAAAATATTTATATGTTTTGTCCAATTCTGTTCCATTGACTTCTTGTTCCATCCATACCAAACACCCTTTTGTTCTGTCCAGTCCAGTTCTGTTCCGCATATCAAACGCTACCTAAAAGAATATGATAGATTGAACTCACAAGAAACATGACATTAACATGATAACGATGACCTAATTATATTATAAGAAACATATAAGAAAAGAAAATCCACATGTATGGGTGAAAGTTTTTAGTTAGTCAAATTATAATCTTTTTAGGGAAACATAACTACTATTATTAAAGAATTAAAGAATTAAAATATATATTTGTGAATCCCGAACAAGAATGTAGGGGGAAAGGGCTCCCACGGTTTATTTCAAAGATTCTCTTCTTTCTGACACTCCAAACTCGCAACCCTCCAAACACAAACGATCCCAATCTGGTCCACAGACCTCAAACATAAACCGAACCCCGCACTACACTCAATCAATTACCCTCTCTCATCTCTTTCTTTCTCTCTCTACAGCTACGAACATGTCTCCGAAGCCATCAGAGAACGGAACCGAAGGCGACGATGAAAGAGAAGAAGGCGAAGAAGATACAGAAGAGGACAAGGAGGAACAAGAGGAGGAGGAGGAAGATGAGCCGAGGCTTAAGTATCAGAGAATGGGAGGCAACGTGCCTTCTCTTTTATCGAGTGACGCCGCTTCTTGTGTCGCGGTTGCGGAACGGATGATCGCTCTTGGTACTCATGGCGGTACCGTTCATATCCTCGATTTCCTTGGTAATCAGGTAAATTTTTGTGTTTTGTTTCACCCGATCACGTCAGTTCTTTGTGTTCTGTTACCTGTTTACTGTTGGAGGTCTTCTAGGTTTGAAATCAATTACGCGGTGTGTTCAATTAGGGAAATTCAATCGATTGGTAGTTTGATACGAGATCTGCAGCTCAGTTGCTATTATGTTCAGTAGTGTTTTGGCATTTCTCTTTTTTCCATATGAACGTGGTAGTAGGAATGAACGACTAGTTTAGATGCCTTTTGCTTCTTCTATTGAAAGCACCGTTTGCTTAAATCAGATCATTTTCTCATTGTGTGGATCAAATACAACATCTGTTCACAATTGAAAAGAGTCCTTGTTGACTTTTTTTCATTAGGATGGAAGCTTTTCAGGTGATTTGATTTTATCAATGAATTAGGGCATTAAGTCACATAAAGAATAAGGCAGAATCACCAAACATATAAGGATAATTTCATAAAAAGTTCTTTGCCCCTGGTTTTGTGGGGTTATGATTGCATTCATAGAGTTTTTTTTTTTGAGTTGCCCAAGCTGTGTGAGCTAATTGTTATTCACATTTGTATCATTTCCTCTGTATCCAATCTCCATAAACTATGTGATGGCTTTCTCTAGTAAGAGCAACAAATTTGAAGTTTGAAAGAGTAGTATCTAATGTTCTTGACAGGTTAAGGAATTTCGGGCTCATACTGCTGCTGTCAATGATCTTTGCTTTGACCTAGATGGTGAATTCATTGGAAGCTGTTCAGATGATGGGTCTGTTGTGATTATAAGTCTATTCACAGATGAGAAACAGAAATTTGAGTATCATCGACCGATGAAAGCCATTGCAATTGACCCAGATTATGCAAGGAAAGCATCTAGGCGATTTGTTACTGGTGGTTTGGCTGGAAACTTATATTTCAATACAAAAAAATGGTTAGGCTACCGTGATCAGGTATTTTTTATGCCTTTTTGTATGGTATCCTTTTCATCTTTACAAAAAAATAAAACAAAATACATCATTTTGTGTAGGTTTTACATTCTGGGGAAGGTCCTATCCATGCTGTGAAATGGAGAACAAGTTTAATTGCATGGGCTAATGATGCTGGAGTAAAAGTTTATGATGCTGCTAATGATCAACGTGTTACATTTATTGAAAGACCAAGAGGAAGCCCACGCCCTGAGCTTCTACTTCCCCACTTAGTTTGGCAGGTAACTGATAAAATATTGGTTGGTGATAGTGTTTTTCACTTTTTTAGTAGAAATGGCTAGATGCTGAATTAAGAATATAGATGAACAAAAACTCCCAATTCACACACAAATTTATTGTCCAAGATGTTGGCCCACATATATTGAAATTTGAGAGAGGGTTACAAAGAATATTTTGTCACAATAGTTGTGCTTGCAAAAACATAATGAAAACAGTACACTGAGATCCCTATATATAGTGATGACAGTTAAGTCGGTTAAGCTCTAATAGTTTGCCATGTGTCTTGAATCTTGATAGTTCCATGAATCTCTTTGGGGCTTTTCCCCCATTAAGTCCTGTTTGAGTAAAGTGGCTGAATGGGTGATGCCTTTCTGAATAAACCATTTGAATGAGACTAAATGACCATTTAACCCTTACATTCCAAAAAACAATATCACCATAATCCATTTTCATCAAATATAACAATATTCATCATTTTTAACGAGAGAGGATTTGGGAGGAAAAAAGAAGGGCAAATAGGTAAAGGGTTGGTGTCAATACATTTAGCCAGGTTTTTTGGCTTAGCCCATTAAGTCATATGATCCAGATTAAATAAAGAGGAAACAGTCATGTATAGCTTAATTGCTTACCCCATTAAGTCAAAAAGAAACAAAACCTAAGTGTAGAGTCCTGATCTTTGATCTTAGAACTTCAGAACTGCGTCAGAAGGCTTGCTTTTTCTGAACATTCTTTAACTCTTCTAACCCATCCTTCTGAACACTACTTCAGAAGGTGCTTCTACACATGACTTAGCAAATTTCAAATCTAACAGTATCAATTTTTCAGATCTAGCAGGTAGAATCTTTGCAACATCTGAACCCTGTTTTATGATATACAGGATGACGCCCTTCTTGTTATTGGCTGGGGGACAGCTATAAAGATTGCATCAATAAAAACAAATCAAGCAAGAGGTGTGAATGGGTCATATAGACAAATCACAACTTCCAACATGAACCAAGTTGATATTGTGGCATCCTTTTCAAACAAGTTATTTCATATCGGGAGTTGCCCCATTTGGTGACTCATTGGTTGTTCTTGCTTATATACCCGGTGAAGAAGACGGAGAAAAGGAATTTAGCAGCAGTGTTCCTTCACGACAAGTATTTCTTTCACCTTTTTCTCATTCTGCAATGATTTCAAGATTGATTCTTTATATTTTTAACCCATAATAGCAACATACATACAATCAAAACAGGGGAATGCACAAAGACCAGAAGTGCACGTAGTGACATGGAACAATGATGAGCTGGCGACAGATGCATTACCTGTACTTGGGTTTGAGCATTACAAGGCGAAAGATTATTCTCTTGCTCATGTTCCTTTTACAGGTACATGTTCATTTCTATTTTTTTTTTATATATCATAAGATATTTATAAATTTGGATGTAGGTAGCAGCTATGCAGGAGGACAATGGGCAGCTGGTGATGAACCTTTATACTATGTTGTATCCCCAAAAGATGTAGTTATTGCCAAACCTAGGTATCTCAACACTTTTTCAATTTTGTGGAAACAAATTGATTAACAATCATCTTGATTGATAGTGGAAACAAATTCACATAATCAATGTCATATATCAAGACTGAAGTACACATACAATAATTTTTCAATTACAAATGAATGATATGCATGTGAATAACAGAGATGCAGAAGATCATATTAATTGGCTTCTTCAACATGGATGGCATGAGAAAGCTTTAGAAGCTGTTGAAGCTGGTCAGGGGCGTAGTGAGCTTCTTGATGAGGTATTTTTTTACTTCCTTTTTATTCTTTTAAGAGTAAAAGAAATAGCAACATATCTTTACTGATAATAGCAATATCTAACAAATAAAGTAAATATGTTACTATTATGGGTAAAAAATGAAGTACACAAATTATAGATTGTAACTTGTAAACTGTTTTATTAGGTGGGATCAAGGTATCTTGATCATTTAATTGTAGAAAGGAAATATGCAGAAGCAGCTTCTTTATGTCCCAAAGTGTTGCGAGGTTCTGCAGCTGCATGGGAGAGGTAGGAAATGTTTCTTCTAGAATATTCTAGAAACTGAAGCCTAAAAAAGGAAAAAGAAAAATTAAAATGTTTTCCAACTTTTCACAGATGGGTTTTCCATTTTGCTCATCTACGCCAGCTCCCCGTGTTAGTTCCATACATCCCAACAGAGAATCCAGTCCTTCGTGATACTGCTTATGAGGTAAGCTTTATATTAAATAATAATTATTGATTACTTTGATGGTTTATTTTTTATAAATAAAAAAAATTGCAGGTTGCTCTTGTAGCTCTGGCAACTATTCCATCTTCCCATAAAGATCTCCTATCTGCTGTGAAAACATGGCCACCTGCAATATACTCAGCAGTGCCTATCATTGCAGCTATAGAGCCCCAACTTAACACCTCATCCATGACTAATGAACTCAAAGAGGTGAACTGTGAACACCAGTAATTTTTTGCCACGTGTCAGTATTTGAGCTATATTAAACATACTAAATCTCCCACTTTGTTTAGGCACTGGCGGTTTTGTATGAAATTGATGGGCAGTATGAGAAAGCTTTTACACTTTATGCTGATGTAAGCACTCACTTATCCATTCTTTCTTTAATTTGGCGTTTAATTTGCTTTCTTAATTTATCAAATTCTGTTTTTTCAGCTTATGAAGCCAGATCTGTTTGAGTTTATCGAGAAGCATAACTTGCACGATGCCATTCCTGAGAAGGTGTGTTGTGTCATGGCTAATTACGAAATTGCCCTTGTTCTGTGTTCTTTTGTTTGGTAATCTCACTTGTGAATCCGCCATATGTTATTTACAGGTGGCCCACCTAATGTCGATTGATCATAAACGTACAGTTTCAATGTTAATCCAGCACAGGGACTTAATTACCCCTGCTGAAGTTGTTTCCCAACTTCTTGCTGCAAAAAAACAAGTGGATTCCAGATACTTTCTTCATGAGTATTTACATGCGCTATTTGAAGCCAACCCTCATGCTGGTAGAGACTTTCATGACATGCAGGTATAAAGGGCAATATAGTCATTTCACACTTGTTGTCCCAAAAAAGTCTTATTGAGGTTCTTGTAAAAATTTTGGTTGCTGTTTTAAGTAAAATGACTATTTTTGGTCCCAGAGTATAACTGTTTTTTGCAAATTTGGTCCCGAAAGTATAGTCATTTTATTTGGATCAGGGACCAAAAACGTTACAAAAAACTCAAATAAGGACCAAAATTGAAAAAATCTGCTATATACCCTGGGACCAAAAATGTAATTTACCTTAATAAATGACAAATGTTTATAAAAAATGGGATAAAGGGAGATATAGTCATTTAATTGGAACAAGGTATGTAAAATCAAATTAAGGACCAAGATTGCAAACTAATTCCTTTTGGGACCAAAACTGCAAAATTGTGCTAAACTGAGGGACCAAATTTGTAAGTTACTTATTGTCAAATGCATCCTGAAAAACAGGTTGAGCTTTATGCGGAATATGATATAAAAATGCTGCTTCCTTTCCTTCGGAGTAGTCAACATTACATGCTTGAAAAGGTTTGCAAAATTATCGACTCTGAATTTATAAATTTTCAGGGTTTTTTTTTATTATTATTATTGATGCTGACATCATCTTCTTGAATTAGGCATATGAAGTTTGTCTTAAGAAAGATCTACTAAGCGAGCAAGTTTTCATCCTTGGAAGAATGGGAAATGCAAAACAAGCCCTTGCTGTTATTATCGACAAACAAGGGGACATAAAAGAGGTAAAAAAAAAAGAAAAAAGAAAAAAGAAAAAAGAAAAAGAAGTTTCTATCTTTATGGGTTTAAATGGCTTTCTTTCTTACATAATTTTTTACAGGCTGTAGAATTTGTTAGCATGCAGCATGATGATGACCTGTGGGAAGAACTTATTAGACAATGTCTTGATAAACCTGAAATGGTAATAATTTTTTTTTTTTTTTACCATAGTTAATAATCTTTTTGAAGAAATGTTTTTATTATGTTTTTTTGGTTGGCAGGTTGGTGTTTTGTTAGAGCATACTGTTGGTAATCTTGATCCTCTTTATATTGTGAATATTGTACCCAATGGCTTGGAGATCCCTCGGTTAGTATTAACTATAACCATTGCTTCGTGTTTTTGGTAGCTCAATCTCTTGTTTCTTAATATTTGTTTATTTATTTATTTAAATTTCAGGCTGAGGGACCGTTTAGTCAAAATCATCACAGATTACAGAACCGAAACATCTCTAAGACATGGTTGTAACGATATACTCAAGGTATTATTTTATACTACAATTTCCTAACTTATTCCATAATATAATCTATCTCATTCTCATTAACATGATTATGATTCACAGGCGGATATAGTCAACCTTTTAGTCAAATATTACAAAGAAGCAAGACGTGCAATATACCTAACCGATGCAGAAAGTGGGACCCGGTCAAACACAAACCCTCAGGACAGTAATCCAATGGATCGACCCCCCGTCCTAAAAACCATGGAGACAAAGTCAAAAACACGAGCAGACGGAAGGTGTTGCATATGTTTCGAGCCTTTACCCATTCAGACATCGGTTATTGTATTCTTTTGCTGTCATGCCTACCACTTAAACTGTCTCATTGACTCCACCAATTCTATTACCACCAACAAAAAATCTAGTGACTCGTATGAAAATGGTGATTATATTGACGATGAAAATGACCAAGATACCCCTTCGGCTGGGTCCCGGATGCGATGCGTTTTGTGTACCACGGCTGCTGCTGGTTGATAATCTGTTTTTTTATTTATAAAGAAAGTTTGTGTTTGTATATTATTTATTATATGTATTGGTGTTATTGGAAATGAGGGTTTTTTGTAGTTGAAGTTGAGTGAGAAGATGGTGAAGAGGTGTTTGTGGGTGTAATACTTGAGTTCCCAACATTAGAAAGGAATTTTATACAAGTAAAATTCATGTCAACAGTGTAACTCATCTTTTGATTTTTTTTGAATAACAGGTTAAATGTGTATTTGCAACTAAACAAGTAACTTAATGTTCATATTCAAGAAATAATTGTGATTTTTGTGTAGATTCCAAGTTATTATGAGTGATAAGAGTCAAATTTTTATGATGTTCACTTGAAGTTGATGACATTCATGAAATGTACACGAATGGTATATGGTCAAAATATCAGGGTGAGTTCTTATCCAACTCATTGAGAAAAACGATAGAGTTAAAAACATGCATTATGGATTCTTCATTCTTATGTTATTGATTGGAGCAATTAGGTGACCATTAAATATTAAATTAAATCTGCTTTGGTTGGAGGGCTGCTCTTAATAATATCACAACATGTATAGCACTCTCAAAACGTGGAGTGGACATAAACTCTACACTTTGTCTACTACGTGGATCTACAAATCGCCTTTTGTATCTTGCAAATTTGCCAAAACTATTTGGGATCACATTGGCTCTTGGTGCTTGTTGAATCCCATTACCTCAACATCAGTCAAACAAAGAAGTCCTATCAATCACTCTTGGATATGAATAGAAGATCACATTTATACAACATCTACAAGGGTACTATTATTCATATCCCATTTTTCATAACTCTACCCTTCAAATTATTTCTTTTTAAATAGATAACAAAAAAAATGTTATTATTTTCGGTACAAATATATTTCTCTCTCAATCATTACTTTTTTCTTTAATCTAACTATACTTTCAATCATTATATATACACACAGAGTTACTAAATACACATCACTCATACTATATGACACTTTATTCTATACTATATTTTTGTCATCATTAACATATGATTTAGCTTAATCATTATACTCAACAATAATTGTTCTTACTTTATTATATCCTAATCATTATCAAATAATTTTATTTTTAAGGGTGTTATTGTATGTACCTATAATCCATAGAATTTCTCCATGCACCCCCATTTTTTTTGTCATTTTATTGTCTTTAAAACCTTTTTAATTAGACATATTTTGTCTTTTTGTTGTCTTTATTATTATTATTATTATTATTATTATTATTATTATTATTATAATAATCATAATATATTTTTTTATTATTTAAAAAAAACTGATTTAATTAGATATCTCTTTAATAGTCTGAATTAAAAAAATAACACAAGGATAGTCTTAATTAAAATAATACAAAGATAGTCTGAATAAAAAAAATAATATATGAATAGTCCGAACGGAAAAATAACACGAAGATAGTCAGAATGGAAAAACAATACATGGGTAGTCAGAACGAAAAAAGTAGCATATTGATAGTATAAATGAAAATAAAAATAACACAAAATTAATCTGAACGAAAAAAAATATATTTTTAATGTTAATAATAATAATAATAATAATAATAATAATAATAATAATATGTATTTATTAAAAGTAATGAAAACAAAAGTAACAAAAATAAATAAATTACAAAGATAGTCCAAACAAAAAAATAAAAAATGAGAAAAATAACATGTATTGCTTAAAAAAACCTCTATTTTTAAAGGGAGATAAAAAAGTTACGCAAAAAGAGAAAAAGTTGAAAAAAAGGGTAGAAAAGGAAATTTTGAGGGTGCATATAAAAATCCTTATTTGTAAAGGTGTTGTTTTGCATATCCCTTTCATTAACATAAATAAAAATAAAACCCTCCTGATTTGACATACATAACCCGTTTTGATTTGACATTTTTTTTTGTCATTTTCTTGTTTTTTGATTTTGTTTATTTTATGTTTTGTTTTTTTTGTGTTTTGTTTTATTATTATTATTATTATTAATTATTTCATTTTTACGAATGATCCTACATATTGTTTCGACTATCCTTGTATTATTTTTTTCGTTCCGACTATCTCTGTGCTATTTTTTTCGTTTTGACTAACTATGTACTACTTTTTTGTTTGGGCTAACTATGTTTGTGTGTGAGTTTTATTTAATGACTATAAAAATCGCGACAAAATAATAACACAAAATAGTTCAAACTAAAAAATAATACAATGATAGTTCGAACGAAAAAAAAAAACATTAATAGTCTGAATGAAAAAAAATAACACCATCATAGTTTAAACGAAAAAATAACACATGAATAGTCGAAAAAAAATGCAGAGATAGTTAGAATAAAAAATAACACATAGATACTCCGAACGAACAAAAAAATAACACGGTGATAAATCTAAACGAAAAAAATAACATAAAAATAGTCCAAACGAATAATAAAAATATTTTTTTATGTATTTATTAAAAATATTAAAAAAAACAAAACAAAAAAGAAAAAAAAAAAAAAACAAAACATCATGTTAACTAGAAAACTAGTAATTAAGAGGGGTATGCAAAGAAAACCCAAATTTTAATGGGTTTTTCTATAAGTATCCTTCTTCTTTTTCAATCTCACCCTCCTAATTTGATTTTTTGTTTTTTTTGAAAGTTTATTTATTTTGTTATTTTGTTGTTTTAAATTCTTTTTAAATTTATTAATATTGTTATTATTATTATTATTATTATTATTATTATTATTATTATTATTATTATTATTATAAATTTCGCACAAAATTTTAACATTCAGACGATATTATAAATTCGAACGGCTAAATAAAATCTGTTTTTAAATATTTTTTTATATTTTAATATTAATATTATTATTGTTATTATTATTATAAATTATGAACACCATTTTATAAATCGGACATTATACATTCGAACGACTATATAAAATCGGAACAAAAGCAAAGTTTGTCCTTATTAATTACGGATATTAATTGGCACGGTATTACAATTGAGTGGTGCGTTATGCGGATTGAAAATATTTAGTCGAGCACTATACAATGTTTCCATTTATATAGCCGTTCGAATTTATAATGTCCGATTTATAAAATGTTGTTCGAAATTTATAATAATAATAACAATAATAATAAAAATGTAAAAAATATATTTAAAAATCGATTTTATAAAGCCGTTTGAATTTATGATGTCGTCCGAATGTTAAATTTTATGCGGAATTTATAACAATAATAATAATAATAGTAATAATAATAATAATAATAATAATAATAATAATAATAAAGAATTAAAAATAACAAAAAAAAAAAAAGGAGAAAAAAAGGAAAAAAATGATATCAAATCAAATGTCAAAATTTTTATTTGATTGATTTTGGGGGGGGGGGGGGACCTCCCCTCTATCTTTCTCACACCTTGCTATGTCTTCTTTCTATTTGCATCGTTTCGAATATAGGCTTTTAAAATCCCTAACCTCACTATATTTTAGTCAAGTACTCAAAAAACTTAATTTAAAAAGAAAAAGAACAGATAAATAAAAGGACAACTTTCACTTTGAAAGTTATAAAAAGACAACTTTCACTTTGAAAGTTATGGCAAACATTGACCCCTTTTTTTACTTGCACACTTTTGACCAGATATTTTTTATTTTCTTATTCACTTAACTTTTCAAACTTCCTACAAACTAGGGGGGGGGGGGGGGGGGGGGCCAAATGTAGTTAAGCGAGGTACTTATAGCACAACCATTTTTAATTCATTTTTTAACTTTCCAACTATTATACTTTTTTGTTATTATTTTTTGTTAGATGATATTTTTTATTTTAAATGATATTAATTTAAAGAAATATATTGATAAATATTATTATATTTTATTTTATATTTGATATGAGTAATATTATTATATTTTATTTTAATATTCTTTTACTTTTAATTATTGGTTTATAATTATATTAAAAATAAAAATATTGGCTCATCAATCAAAAAATGTTGATGTTGCTTATATTTATGTATTATATATGTTTTATTAGTTAAAACATATTTAAATAAATAAGTAAAAAGTACATAGATATATTTTCTCATTGTTATTATAACAATATTTAATTGAAAATAAATAATTTGAATAAATATACTAAATATTTCTTAGGAGTTATTATCAAAAAAGGAAAGTTTATCTGAAAACGGCGATCTTAGAGGTATATTATTGAAATAAACCTATTTGTAGTAGTAACAGAATAATCACTCTTAAAATAAAAAAAGCTAATAACTGATTATATTCTTTTTTTGAAAAAAAAAATGTGTAATAAATATCAAAAAAGAAGTTGATTTTTACTGGAGGTGCTGCTATAAAGACACCCCACTTAAAGAAGTCAATTTTTTTTAAAGATCCCTATAAATTTGAACATTGGAGTCCGTGTGTGTAACATTGAAAATTGTATTTTTTATAAATAAGTTTTTAATAACTAACTTAATTCTATTAAATTTCATTTAACATTTAATCACCAACATTTCCAAGGTAGATAAATATATAGAAGCTAAATTCCGTCAACAATAACAAACTAAAATCATAACCGCTGTCAAACATATATTATAACAAATATACTACTACTGTTGACATCACCGTTGCTAATGACCTACCGCCGACCATTAACGACCAATCCTCTGCCTCCAACATCACCGTCGTCGATGACAGATAGACAGAAAGAAAGAAAGCGAGAGAGAAGAGAGATAGAAAGGGATAGAGAATGAACTATTACCGATAATAACTGCTAATCCTTTGCATCTACAGGTTCGTTGGCGATGAGATATCGAGACAGATCAGAGAGTGAGAGAAGTGAAGATTTGAAAGATCTTTATGTCCAATAGTCACTATAGAATGATATTGCTAGATAATATATAATCCTAAAAAGTCACGCTAACAACAATTTGATGCAAATATATTATTTATAGGTATTTGATTATTGATAAATAAATATAACTCTTGTAATTAATTGAAATTAATTATTTCGTGGAAATATTAGTTTTCAATATTCAGTATCAAAATATATTATAATATATCATAAGGTATGATTTATTATAATATATTTTAAGAATTTCGTGGAAATACGCAAAAGCGTGTAACCTAAAAATTATGTCATGTCTCTAGAAATTTTAAGGATTTAGGACACGTATTTTTGCGTGCCCTAAAATTAGTGTCAGAAAAAAAAACATGGATGGCGCTTATTATAAAATGTGTGTCATCTGTATAT